GCCTGCCTCTCCCTCCCGAGTGCTGGGATTAAAGGCGTGCACCACCGCCGCCCAGCTCTCTGTGTCTCTTATAATTCATGCAACAAGGTAGCTCTTTCTTCTAAGAAAGAGTGAAGGGATTCTTTCATAGGCAAGTAGGTTCAAGGGAAACAAGTTCACAGTTCTCCAAATAACTATTTCAATCCCCCAGTCAGACTTTCAGGACCCTGACTTTGGCACAAGAGACTTCCTAACTTGACTCCAGTCTTCCCTGGAGTTCTGTCTTTCTGAGTGTAAAGGCCTAGAGCCTTTGCTGCTATCTGAAAACACAGCTGCAGGACTGGGTGTCTCTTTCCATAATACTTGGGATTCTACATCTAAGCCTGTCAATAACTGCTGTCAATCTATTAGCACCAAGTACCAACAGCCACCAATCCCATCATCCTTAAAGTGGGAGCTCTTTGTCTTAACACCTGAGGGCCTATTCACACCACCAATCACCTTTTGGCTGGACAGTGACCCAACTCTAGAATCCCACCCCTGAGGCTTTGCTTCTAGAACTGTCATCTTAGGATGAGGCTCCTAGAGAAAAACCCAGAGTTGATTGAGGCCTTTCTTGTCTTATTTGGTGAATTGTCTGCTCTTGAACCAGGATCTTACTTTATAACCCAGAGTAGTTGAAACTCACTATGTAGTCCAGGCTGGCATCATACTTACAGCTATTCCCTGCCTCAGCCTTCCAAGGTCTGGGATTACAGGAGTGTGTCACCATATAAGCTTGGAAGCTTGTGGTTAATTATGATGTGCTCTCAGGAGGAGGGACAAGAGCAGCAACATATGTGTCACAGGAGAAGGGGGGGGCAAGCCAAATGGAGAACAGGCTCCAGGACAGACCCTTGGTTGCAGCTGGAGGCAGGGGGATGGACCACAAGGCCAGGAGGTGTGACTCCCAGTTGCAACTGGGTCCATGTGATTCAGAGCAATCCTTTGGGGATGATGGAGTCAGTAGAGATCTCTCACTGCTCCTTCAGGTGGGAAGACCCAGCCAGAAAAGGACACGGTACCAGGACACCAGCAGCATCTGTATTGTCAGTCAGCTGTTTCCATTTGAGTCCTGAATAGCAAACACTTTCTTGAAATTCTTCTCAAACTCAGACTCCAATCTAAGTCCCATTTGGCCAAACTTGGGTTCCTAGAAAAAAAATAACAAAGACAAAAATGATAAGGCTCATTATCAGAGAGAGACACATCTCCTTCTAGGCACTTCTACCCCCTGGCAGAATCTCTCAACTTCATGGTCCAATCACGTGTAAGGAAAATTAGACTTTGCTATTTCTGAGAATTAATTGTGCCTAGGAGAATGTAAGAAGCAGAAAATCCCCAGACTGGGGAGATGACTCAGTGGGTCAATGTTTGCCACACAAGTGTGGGGATCTGAGTTCATATCCCCAAACCTATGGAAAGCTGCATGTGGCAGCCCACATCTGTAATCCCTGCTCTCCACAGTGGTGAGCAATAGGTTACCTTGTGTCAAACAAGGGGAAAGATGAAGAACACTAGCCAAGGTTGCCCTCTGACTTGATCCTCTTGTCTTCTATGACACACAGGCACCTGTATTCACACATGAACATACACTCATTCATGTATACATACATATCACACATAATCATGCACACACGCGCACGCACACACACACACACACACACACACACACACACACACACACACACACAAAGATTTAAACTAATGTGGTAGTTTTGAAAAAAGTGGTTGACATAAGGTGGCCTTGTTGGAGGAAGTGTGTCACTGTGGGGGTGGGCGTTCAAGTCTCCTATGCTCAAGCTATACCCAACGTAGACAGAGACTCCTCCTGCTGCCTGGGGATTAACATGTAAAACTCTCAGCTCCTTCTCCAGCGCTATTCCTGACTTCACATCGCACACCATGATGGTAGTGGACTAAACCTGTGTAACTGTAAGCTAGCCCCAAATAAAAGTTTTCTTTTATAAGAACTGCTATGCTCATGGTGTCTACTTCCAGCAATGCAAACCTTAACTAAGACAACTAGCATCTAGAGAAATTGTTTGGTTATTAAGAGCATATACTGCTCTTGCAGAGGACCCAAGTTTAATTTTCAGTACTCATGGCACTCAGCTATAACATCAGCTTTGGGGGGTGTGAGATCTCCAGCCTGCACAGGTAACTACACTCACATCCACATACACTGTGCCTTTTGCCAAACACATATACACACACGTGTGTACACATGCTAAGATTCAAAGCCTGCACCACAATGGCCAGTGTTCTAGAATAATCTCTTTGCACCATGTGAAGATGTGTCTCTGCATTACTTCATCTGCCGAAGGTGCCTTCTGATTGGTTTAATAAAAAGCTGAACAATGGGCAGGAAAGGATAGGTGTGACTTCTAGGCAGAGATAGGAACATGGGACAGGAATGTGAGGGGTGGGGTGGGGTGGGGTGGTATACCAGCCAGATGAGGAGGAAGTTAGACTTACTAGGTAACAAGCTACATGGAAAAACATAGATTAATATATATGTGTAATTTAAGTTTTTTTTAAAGGTTTGTTTATTATGTATACAGTGTTCTGCCTACATGAATCCCTACAGGCCAGAATTGGGCACCAGATCTCATTACGGATGGTTGTGAGCCACCATATGGTTGCTAGGAATTGAACTCAGGACCTCTGGAAGAGCAGCCACTGCTCTTAACCACTGAGCCATCTCTTCAGCCCTGTAATTTAAGTTTTAAGAGCTAGTGGGAGTAAGCCTATGCTAAGGCCAAGCTCTCATAATTAATAAGAAGTCTCCAAGTCATTATTTGAGAGCCAATGGTCCAAAGAAAGTCAAGCTACATGCCCAGAGTGACCCTACATATATATATTTTTTAAAAATCAAGCAATCAAAAGAAATAAACATACTTGTACTGAGAATAGGTAGCTTAATTGTCATTTGTGTGGTCCTTTAGCCTCATAGACTGAAAAGGAAATGAACTCTGTGGTGTTGGGGATCTCTCTGTTAGTGAAACACCTTCGATATTAAACCAAAACAAATTTTTCACTTCTAAATGTTTTTTTCTTTTGGGATAGAATTTCATACTATAGACAAGGCAGGCTTTTGTATAAGACAATCCTCCTACCTCGGCCCTTTGAAGGCTGTGATCACAGGCATGCACCTGATGGGGGAAGTCCTTCTGTGTATGTGTTTGTCTTATTGGTTGATAAATAAAGCACTGTTGGCCAATAGGAAAGCAAGATAGGTGGGTTTAGGAGTCGAGGAGGATTCTGGGAAATGTAGTAGAGACAGCAATTGCCATGTGATCACTGGCAAGAGAGGGCGCATAAGGCCAGTGTCCTCAATAAGATAAGTTTTTATAAAATATATGGATTAATGGTAATGGTTGATTATTAAGACTGAGCTAGCAGATGAGAAATCCTAGTCATTGGCCAGCAGCATTGCACTTAATATAAGTCTCTGTGTGATATTTTGGGGGTCCTAACATTTTGGGGGAAGCAGGCGGCTGGCAGAAAGATTTATCGTTACATGCACCACTGTGTCTGGCATCTCAGACTTCTTGCTTATGCAACTTTATTACAGGAAGATGTGGGAAACTAGACTTTCCAAGTACCAGAAACTGAGGGAAGAGTAACCCAGTGGAAAGACGAGATGCAGGCAGGGAGGGATGCTTACCTTGAAAGTGGTCCTGTGATTGTGGAAGATGAGTCTCATGTCTTGCACAAACCCTTCCACATGGGAGTAATCTCTCTCTCTCAGCTTTTTCTTGATCAAGTCCAACCACATCATCTTCTTCACACCCACAGGCGTCTCTCTAAACTGGTAACAGAAATAGCAATTCTTAGAGAGTGACTAGTAAGACTCAGCATTTCCCTTCCACAGGACCCCAGAAAGCAAAGCTGAAAAAAAAAAAAGAGCCTGTGGTCCTGGGGGGTTGATCACAATCCCACAGGTGCCCCTCACAGTCCCATGACATCATGGCACCAGGGATGGGGTCACCACCAATACTCACATAATAGTAATATGGAATCTTGGAAAAAAAGGAGCTCTCAGAACAGCAATAGATGCTCAATAGGACAAACTCACACTTCTGCAAGAAAAAGGAGTCTCAGTCAAGTGACTTAGAAAGGCAGAGTCCATACACATGCCCAGGAGGAAGGAACCACTCAAACCCATCTGGAAGTTTCCCCAACTCGAGTGTCTCTTGGTTACAGACTTTAGTTTTTATGTCAATGGGTTATGTGTGACAACAGCATGGTGGAGTGTGACTTGGAGGAGCAGGCTCCCTTTGAGCGCTATTCTGGCTCCAAAACCATTTGGCTCTTCCAGGGGACAGGAGAAAGTGTGGGGTTCATAGGAACTCACCAGCTGTTCCTGGGCAACCATCTGCCTCTGCAGTACCTCAGATTCTGGAAGACTCTGTTGGCTTTCTAAGGACTGTATCCTACAGAAGATGCAACTCCACGGTGTTCTGAAAGGTTGGATGTGGGGTGAGCAGAGGCAAGACTTGAAACCAGCCACAATTCTATGCCTGCTTCTGTGCTTTAAGGAATGGCTGATAGTCTCATCTGGGGGAGAGGTTCCCAGGCTCTGAGGGAGCCCATGTAGGATCTGAAGCTACCAAAACTCCCATCAGGGTCATAGCAGGAGCGAGTCCTTGGAGAAAGTGGGATTTATGGTGAGAGTTGGGATCCACATCTCCCAACAAAGATTTCTGGGAGCAGAGAGGCCAGGCTATCAGGTCTGTACACAGAAAATGGTCTTCCACAAACTCTGGGAACCTTGGACCTCTATTGGTTCACTACAACCAGTGAAATGTATAAAGCACTCATATTTCCTTCTTTCATGAATAAGTACATAAGAGAAAAACCTGGCATATGCCACTCTCACCAGAAACGCTGGTGAACAAATTTGAAGAAAAGGCAGTAGTAGTGTATAGGTAAAGGGCCCAGCCTTTGTATCAGGAGAGAAGCCTCCCCTAACTTACTGACAACATCTTGAACCAGCTCTCTGCATCTTCCTGTCTGGTGTCTGTTATTAAGAGCTCTTGCTCATCCTCCATTGAGACACAAGCTAACAATCTCCATGGGTAACGTGTCTGACAAGGAAAAGGTGTCTAGGAGGAAACAGAGCAGGGACCACATCTCACTCACATCTCAGCCTCCACTGTTGGGATGTGGCACTCCTCATGGAAGGCTCTGGAGCAAGTATCACAGCAGAAGAGTATTCCTACATCCTGGCACACCTCACATTCATCTGAGTTCTGCATCTACAAAGTGGAAGATTTACATCACTGGGAGAAGAGACCTCACAGAGCCACCACTGTGGCAATCCACAAGCTGTGGCCTTTATATGAATCTGCAGGCACATGGATGATTCTTCCTGGGATATTAAGAAATAGCATGGAATGCAAATTGCAGAATAAGACTTTGTGCCCTTCAGCGATGTTTGAGAGAAGAATGCCATGAACCAGTCCCAAAACAATCTTCCCTGTAAAACCAAAGATCCTGACACAGAAAGATTAGCAATAAAACAAGATTTTATGTAATCTGACTAATTTTTCTATCATATAGATTAAATGAATTTCTGAAATAAAATATTAAGCTCATTTGCCTGTATAGCAATGACATCAGCTTATCATAGAGAGATGTACCAGGAATTCAATCTTATGGAATAAACTAAGAGAAAACTGTAATTGAGCCATGAACAAGTCATGAATTGATGGGTCTGAAGAAGAGTTTTTGGATACTGGGTTCTGTACCTAGAGAGCCTTGAGCCTGTGATGGTGCCTCTGAGAAGACAGGGTATGAGTACAAATGAACAGCCAAGTGGGTACAAAAGAAGCAAAGACTCCGTGGCTGTTGGAATCTTTTTTTTTGTTTTTTGTTTTTGTTTTTTTGTTTGTTTTGTTTTTTGAGACAGGGTTTCTTTGTATAGCTTTGGAGCCTATCCTGGCAATCACTCTGGAGACCAGGCTGGCCACAAACTCACAGAGATCGGCCTGCCTCTGCCTCCCGAGTGCTGGCATTAAAGGCGTGTGCCACCTACGCCCGGCTTGTTGGAATCTTGTATTAGATTCCACATGACCAAAGAAAATGGGCATGTGAGACATGGAGTCACCAAGGTCTGTAGTCATGGTCATGGCAACCATCCAGGATTAAAGACTGGGATGGTTTTAATTGTAAACTTGAAATAATCTAGAATCACCTGAGAAAAGAACCTCTGAGAATGTCTATTAGAGATTATGTTAATTATAGTTCGACCCATTCACAGTGGGTTCCTGGAGTGTGTGAGTGGAGAAATGGTGGTGATCATAAACACACACACATTAACTCATTGCTCTATGCTCTTGATGGTGGACGTGATGTGACCACATGCTTTATGTTCCTCCCACCTCGACACCCCTGCAAGGATGGACTGGAAGCTAGAACTGTGAGCCTGTTAAGCCCATCCTCTCTCTCTCTCTCTCTCTCTCTCTCTCTCTCTCTCTCTCTCTCTCTCGCTCTCTCTCTCTT